TGGTTGAGGCGGCACTAATCCATGCTAATCTCTCCCCTGGTGTTGTACTGAATTGTGTTGCTGTGCTGTCCTGTACAGAACTTACCCGTGAAGTCCTTGCAGCGTGCCCTGCTGCGTCATGTCGCTCACTTGGGGAACGCAGTGGTTACTGCGACACAAACGTGTAATGCTGTTCACTGTGTAATACGGAAAGCCCTGTCTACAGGGTCAGTGCGTGTGTGTATATATATATGTATAAAAGAGAACATATGTGTATATATACACTTTAGATTATGTAGGTTTTTTATTTGCTTTCTTAATTTTATTCATGTTTTTCACCTTCCAGAAAGTACAGAAATTCCGTCTTATGTGACTAAATGTCCTAGCAACGGGCTTTGCAGTAGATTGCCACCAGACTGTATGACATGTAACACAAACTATTCCTGTATTTATGGGAAGCTGGCCACTTTTGATTGCAAAGTCAAGCCACATGTTCACTGTGTTGTAAGTAACTTGTTACTTTTAAACCCAAGTTAAAGTAATTTAATTAAACTGTGGCATCTTGTCATAAAATAGGAAACATTGATTGCCAGGTTCTTACATAGGCAGATTTGCAGATCTGTGATACATTTAATCGTTCAACTGTAGGTTGTTGCTGAAGAGGCAGACCTACCCTTCTATGTTCAGCCCTTCTTGCTTTGGATCTTCTTGTCACGCAACCGTGCAATTGAGTTAAATCAATTTGTTGACCAATCAAAACTCAACCGTTTTGAGAGTGGGGAGGCTAAATACCTGTCAGAGGTACAGACTGATCTTGCAGAGGAGACTGAGTCCTCCTTTTGGCAGTAGCCTTGGATTGGAAGAAGCATTAACATTGAGCTGTGCTTTAATAACTCTCAGTTTTCTAATGTTGATTTTTCTATTTTACTTGACTACATAGAGATAGAAAATAGGGTAGTTGTTATTTTACCCCAGATGTCTACCCATGAAATGTAATTTGATACTACACACTGTGATTTTTTTTATTACTAGTGAAGTGATAATGCTGTCCTTTTATAGGATCAGAATAACCACGAGCAGGAGAACTTTACGGTTAACATGACATGCCAGTTTTGCTGGCAGCTTGCAACAACTGATTATGTATGTACTAATTCTACAAACTGCATGACGGTTTCTTGTCCGCGACAACGATATAATGCTACTTGTACAGTACGGGATCATATTCATTGTCTAGGTAAGGTGGGCTAAAACAGATTCTGTAAAGAAGTTTTTTTTTCTAAAGAATTTCTTAGCATTTTTTTGTAATGGGTAAATACAATTATGATTTATGTCCACTGCAGTAACAGCCTTCACCTTGATTAACCTATTGAATTTTTTTGTAGTTACACTTTAATTTTTAAGCATAATAGTGATACCTAACTGTAAACATTGGCTTTTAATACTGTTGTGTGTCTTCACATGAGAGAAAATAGTTCTGGTTTGTTTTTGTCAACTTCTATGAATTAAACTAATTTGGACACCACTAACATTATCAGTATCAAATGTCTCAGTAGGGTAATTTAAAAAAATTCATGCTGGTTTCACCCAACTAGTTTAATTTTCCCCCTATTTGTTCAGTAACCTTGCATGTTTTCTGATGTGTGACAAAGACTGATGGAACAGAGGACTGTAGAGTATATATGAGTTTTTGTGTTGACAGTGTTTGTTTCAATTAATGTCAACCCTTTAGAGAAATAACAGTATCTTCTTGCTTGTCATTTCCCACTTGTTATGCAGCCTTTGTTACATTAAGGTTTTCATGTTTTCTAATGTTTAGGTAATCGTGTCTTCCCTAAGATGCTCTATTGCAACTGGACTGGAGGTTATAAGTGGTCTACTGCCTTGGCACTAAGGTACACCAGAGCTGTTAGATAACGTCAAGCTAAAATAGATAATATTAGAAATAAATTAATTGTCTATAAGATCTTCAGTGTGTGGGGGGTTCTGCTTGGTATTTTTGCATAGTGTACTGAATAACCAGTATTTCATAGAGTCCAGCTTAGAATCTGGAGGCTTGGGATGCCTGAAGATTGCATGTGCAATGATACTAGCTGTCTTCAGTAAACAGAGCTTGAGAGAAAACATTCCGCTATTTCTGCATCAAATGTACTGTCTTCAGCGTAAATGCCTGTGATTCTTAGCCTTCACAAAGTGATCCATTTTCTGAGTAGAGAGGACATGTTGGCTTTTATTCTGTATGGTGTCAAATGAGGTACAAATGCTCAAAAAAATCTGCAGATTTATGTTTTTTTTTCTCAGTTTTTTTTATATGTTTTAAACAATTAGGGCTGAAAATTGTCCAAATTACTTCTTGGCACCTGTAATGAATGCAGCTGTTTCTGAATTTGATAGATGCCACTGAGCTGGCTATAGTTGGTATACATTTGTTACAGCTTCCTTCCCAACTGTATCAGCAAGATGACATTTTGTGCATTTTAAATTATTAGGGAAGAGACTAGTGTAGTCATAATGAAAGAAACTCTTTAGGTTATTTTTGGAATATTAAGCCATTAGAGCACCACAGTAGCAGTTTGAAACTAACTGAAGTTCTTTTGGTGGTAAGACCTTTTTAATTAAATTTTAATATTTCAAAAGTGGTTAACATGATAATTAGGTAGTGAGCCTCACTATTCCTGGAGCCAGAGATACAGTAAGACTCTGATGAAGAAAGTGATGTAACCAACTTGCTGTCCTAGAGAGAGTTGTTCTCTGTGCCACCAGCTGGAGAAACGTAGTGTTGCCTGAACGCTGCACAGGGCTGAATTGAGTGTTTGGGTCTGTTCCTATAGCTTGTGTGTTAGGATCTTTTTAGCTTCTGCTACCTTAGAAAAGTCAAGACATGTTTATAAATTTGAGAGTTTTGGGTGTTAATTCTTGTCACGAATGAAAAACTGTCAAGTCTCTGGATAGTATTAATTAGCTAAGAAATAGTGCTATTTCGTCAAAAGGTTTCTCATTTAATAACCCAGTCAGCGCTTTTTGTACGAAAAATGTATAGTTTCTGGAATGATGCAGAGCAAAACTATCATTGAACTGTAGGTGTGTCACAAAGAAGTATGCATGGATACCTGAACGGAGTTCCTCTAAAGATAATAATGAATCATGTTTTTATTCTTATAGCATCACCCTTGGTGGATTTGGTGCCGATCGTTTCTATTTGGGCCAGTGGCGGGAAGGTCTGGGAAAACTCTTCAGCTTTGGTGGACTTGGAATATGGACACTAATTGATGTGCTACTAATAGGTGTTGGCTATGTGGGACCTGCAGATGGTTCTCTTTATATTTAAACGTGGGTGCAATATGTTGCAGAGAGGAGTAATTGCATGGAAAGGGCTCTAAATAAAAAAATGTAGAGATTTGAGCCTTTCAGGTAGAATGAAGAACCACTGTTGTTTCTATGTGCATACATTTTAATGTACAGTATCTGTACTTAGTTTGCCTTTAACTAAGGTAAAATAAAAGAGTGGATCACTGAATAAGTTCAAATTCATTTCCTTTCTTCTATGGACATGCTCTTTTTCTATGAAAAAAGTTGAACAGCTAACCAAATTCTGCACTGTGCTTAAACCTGGATGTTCTGTTGAGCAAAAAAAGAGATGCAAACTAACTTGAGTATTGAGTTGTTTACTTCATATTTATATGCTTGAATTTAACTTTAAAGCTAACTTCCCTAAATATGCCAGTGATTTGTTTTTTGTTTTGTTTTTGTGGGAGGATAATTTATTTGCCTGAAATGCTTTAGCAGTATGTAGATCACCATGTTTTATGACGTTAGTCACATTCATCTCTGTTTTGGGATATAGCAGGAGCTAGCGTTTGCTTTGTGAATTGTTGACTTAAAATTGTGGGGTTTTTAGAATTAGATTGCAGTAACACTAAAAGCTAAATATGAAATAACTGGAGTAGATTTTAGGATTGTTCTAGAACGTCTTTATTTTGGTTGGGTTTGACCTGTATATCAGTCAAAGGTACAATTTGTATTCTTGTGCCAGCAAGCTTGCCGAGTTAATTTTAAAATAGGGCTAGCAATGTAATCGCTCTGTTTATCCACTTACGACGTTGTAACAAGGTAATGTAGCAAACTGTAGTGCCATTCCAGGATAACCGTTTGGTTCACTTCCGAGCCGGCCGGTGGCTGCCTCCCTCCCCCCAGCCAGGCGCGCTCTGGCCCTGCCCGCCCCCCTACCCTGGACTTGAACTCGTGTAGTACCAAGGTGCAGTAGATCTGGAAATCGTTATCACTTGAATAAACTTGGACTTGAAGCTTTCCTGGAATTGGATGCTAATCGTGGTTTTTGTGACTTCGCCTTCCCTCCTGCTGCGCCCGTGTCCCCGCGCACGGCTGGAGGGGGGGCGTGGCCTCCGCTGTGACCCCGCCCCCCGCCCGCCCCCCGCTGCCACAGGCGCCGTCATGGCGGCGGAGCGGGAGCGGGACCTGCGCTTCTACCGGCGGCTGCCCAAAGTGGTGAGGGGCGGCGGGGGCGGCGCGGCCGGGGCGGCGCGGCCGGGGCGGCGGAGCTCCGCGGGAGCGCGCGGGGCCCTGCCCGGCCCTCAGGCGGCGGCGGGCGGGCTGGGGCTGGGGCTGGGGCTGGGGCGGGCGGCTGGAGGCGCACCGGCTGCTGAGGTCCTTCATCCCGCGGGACAACGCGGCTGGGGTTCGCCTGTGCGGCTGGCCGGCAGGTTTTAGCGTCTAATCTTCCGATTAAATCAGTTGAGCGTGGTCTTTATTTTCCTTTTTGGTCCTGTTTTTCCCTGACGCTAGCCCAAGAAGCCTATCTCAGATAACGCTTTTTTTTTTCCTTTTTTCCCTTTTTTTTTTTTTTTTTTTTTCGTGTCCCGAAGGGTGTGCCTTACTTTTAGCGTCGCTGTGCTATCGTTTGGTACGTGTTACTGCGTTTTTATCGGTGTCACCGTTCTGGACGCAAAACAGCAAACGGCACGTAGTCCCGCGGGGAGCTTAACCAGCGAACACGCAGGTGCACAGCCAAAAACACATCACACCACCCGTGTATTCTCGTGCTCCTTTTCAATAACGTGGTTTTTCAGGGTTTGTGTTCAATGTCTAACTGAATTCTCTGAGGTATTTTCACGTGTGAGACTGTGAAAAATTTAATTTAGTAGCAGTAGTGTGTCTGACTTGATTTCCAGAAGCAGTAAGCGTTCATAGCTCCTGGCATTTAGTTGGAGTTGTGCACCTTCAGTTTAAGATAATCTGACCCCTTTTTCCTCTGCTTGTGAACTTAATACTATAAAATAGGAAGCTGAAATATAATACTTTACAAAAATAACATTATGAAATCTTGAAGGAGTTACAACTTCAACATGTTTTTCAATCATTGGCTTGAAGAAATGTTTCTACAGTTTTTCATTTCCTTGTGAGAAGGGATGTGTTCCGGGGGGTGAGGGGGTGGTAACAAAGCAGATGCTCTGCAGGTACATTTTGAATGAGTTGGGAGGGCACTGGGGACCTGTTCCGTATGTCAGGAGCCGAGAGATCATAAGGAGCAAAGGTGGAAAGGAGAAATGGAGCTGAGGATCATCGTGGGTTTGGACTCCAAAGTCAGGTTGTACAGAGGAAGTCAGGCAGAAAGGAGGGCAGTGACACCAGCTGCTGTTAGTTACTCCAAAGGTAGTGTCTTGCTGGATTTCTGGTGTGAGTTAAAACTTCAAAGTACGAAAAAAAAGGTGAGTGGATGTACAGATGTTGATGTTTTTGAAAAACGTACACGTATATTTAACTCACAGTGGATGGGGAAAGACTTCTTGAACACTTACTATACTTTTCTTAATACCGAGGCAGCTGTTCAGTTGCTGCTCCTCACCTTGAATTGCACCACTCCAGCAATCAGCTGGAGATCTCTCTTTCCGGGGCTGGCTGTGCTCCTACTGAGATCAGTGCTAACAACAGCCTGACAAGAGAGAAGCAGCAAACGGGACAGCCTCAGGTGAACCAGTGCATGCAAAAGCATGAGGAAACAGTTATTACTCAAATACAGAGATAACTGTTATTTTATTTTCAAACTTGGAGTGAAACAATAATGTAGGATACAAGAATAGTAATGCAAACAGGGTATAGAAGCCCTCCTTTTTACAGGACCCAATCCATGGGATTTTTTTTTTTCTCTAGGAACTTCATGCTCATTTGAATGGCTGTATCAGTTCTGCCACTATGAAGAAACTTATGGCTCAGAAGCCATACCTTCAGATCCAGAATGGGATGACTGTGATTGACAAAGGAAAGAAAAGAACCTTAGATGAGTGAGTATACGTGTGTGTGTATGTGAACATTTATTGAGTGTCTTTTAATTATGTTCAAAACAGAGGCATGTATGGCCTTACACACTGACTGTGGAAAATAAATATTCAAGTTTTAGTTACAGTACTATCCAATAGATTTTTTGTTACTTGTATCTATAGAATAACTTCTTAGATTTTTGCAAACTGAATGCAGAACTCATGTTGATTAATTCCCTTTTTAAAAGATTGAAGGTTTTTACTTGTAGCACATGCTTTTCAGAGAAAATTGACTCATATAGTTTCCTTTTTTTGGAGCTTCAGGTTTTCCTTTGTGCTTCAGAAAGCTTTATGGCAGTAGTAATATCTGTTGCTAAAGCATTGTTAGCACCTAAAATCAGAAATTGCCATTCAGATGGTCTGTGTATTTTAAGCTACAATCTGGTTAATTGAGCACAGTGAGTACAGGTTTTCAAAGTGTAGATGTATTTTTTTGAATACTCATTTTACTGTTCATCGTTTGTCCAATTATTTTTTTAACTGTATTTTAGATGTTTTCAGATGTTTCAGATCATCTATCAGATTACCACTAGGACTGAAGATATTTTACTGGTAAGTTTATTAAAAGTTCACATAAAACAAGCAAGCAATACACACAGTCAAAATTAATTGGGCTAACAGCATTGGGTTCTAGGTAACAATATCAACAATGGTCCTTTCAATTGGAGGTCAGAATTATTATTGTAAAACACGTTAATTTAGAAAGACAGGATTTTATAACTCCTAATTTTTGTGAAAGCAATGAGCTTCCAATATGATGGTCGTTATGACCACTCAGATGCTTGGACTGATAACGTCTTAAAAATGTGATTTCTGTTCATTGTGACCAAAGCTTTGATTTACCCTAGTCTCCTGTTTCTTATTTGGTTCATTACATGCCAAAACGACAGAATAGAATTGCCTTTTGTTGACCTTAGGTTACAAAACTGTCAAGGAGAACTGTTGTGTGATCAAAATAGGGAGCAGAAAGCGGCATAGTGTCATCTGCTTCCCTCCTGTAAAGGGGCTTGTAGGCAGCCTGTTAAACTTACAGAAAGGTGCAGCAGCTGTGAGAGGGGTTATGACTGCACCAGTTGAGGGGTATTCTTGTTCAGACAAGGAAATTCTCATTTGTCCTAACTCTCTTCAGTACCACTGTGGGGTAGTATTTCCAGAGATGGAGAGCGCTAAAAACAGATAGGGCCTGAAAATTTTGCAAGGGTTTCATGCCAAAAAATAACTGGGTATTTTAGTTGTGAAGGAAGATACAACCAATTATAAGCATTACTTCCATGATGTTGAATACACTGTTTCTTGATCAGATAACTAAAGATGTTATTAAAGAATTTGCTGATGATGGTGTCAAGTATCTGGAATTGAGGAGCACTCCTAGAGAAGAAAAGTCCACAGGTACCGTCTGTTCTGGCTTTTAATTTGTAAGTTTGATGTGCTATAAAACTTAGTTGGGACTGTGTTAATAACAAGTAAAGTCAAATAAAGTCAATAAAAATGAGTCAACAAAAATATACTTTAAGTATAAAAGCAAAGATTTAACCATGCAAAAGCATGTCACTTTGCTATGAGGACAAAACCATGTTGGTTATAAATCTGCTACCCGAGAATTTGGGTTATTCGGTTTAGTATGACATCTGAGTCTGTTAATATTTTTAATAGCTGATATTTTCTTTTTATTACTTAATTTTTCATTTGCTTTTAGATGTGGTTTAATACAAATACATAAGAGAAGTACTGTTGGTCCACACTAAATTATTTTCTTCTAGATGCTTACAAGGAGGCTTAATTTGAATGTATACTTCAGAGTTTATAAACAGAATTAGAACTATCTAGTTCTAATATAGATTAGAAGACTATGGACTAAAATCAAACCTGCAAAATGAAACACATGAGGCTAGAGAGCTTGGTCTGCAACGTAATAAAACTAATTCAAAGATGTTTATTTCAAATGTGTATGTGTGTTTGTAGGTATGACCAAAAGGATGTATGTTGAAACTGTACTTGAGGGTATAAAGCAGTGTAAAGAAGAAGGCTTGGATATAGATGTAAGGTAAGTAAAGTACATGGAGTTCTTCTGTGTCAAAGTTTTGTGTAGTTTGATGTTTGGTCGTTTGCAGAGAGGTTTACAGACCATCAGTGTAAGAAACAAAATTATGCTTATACTAGATTACATGGAAACAGGTAATTCATCTAGGAACCTGAATTTTTATCTTCCTTTTTACTGAGAGAGAATGAAATTGGGTAAAGCTTTTCAGCTCTAAGGCTGTCCATTCTATGCAACATTTTTAGGAAAAGCAGTGTTTTTGATGGAAATTGCGTTAAAGGCTCCTTTTTCACAGCCTAAATTCATTGTAAAGATTTTGCTTGATTAGCTGCACAAGCAACCTGCTGTAAAGGAGAGGTGTTCCTAACCAGCAGAAAAGTTTCAGAAGGTGTCAGCGGTTGCTTGGAGGCAGTCTGCTTGCCTGTCTTTTATATTCAGTAGCAACCCTTGTTAAATTTATTTGTGGAAGCTGAAGAATTCTCATTCTTGATGTGTGCACCTCGGAGAGGTTGCTCACCTGATAGGGCAGGCAGGGAATGAGCAGTGTGTTGTTCCCTGCCTGCCCTCTCTCCGGGGCTATTGCATTTCCCAGGCTAACCTAGTTATCTAATTATTGTCCCTCTGCACTTCGGTACCTTCAGTCCTTGAACAGTTTCCTATACAAATACTCTTTATACTCAACCATGAAGGATGTGAAGTGCCATTCCTGTTGGTATCAGATTTGTTGGTCTCCTACTATTACAGCTTGCGTTTAACTTAATACATACGTTTCTATCCTAGATTGTTAATAGCAATAAATAGAAGAAGTGGCCCGGCAGTTGCTAAGCAGACTGTTAAACTTGCTGAAGAGTTCCTTCTTTCCACTGATGGGGTTGTAGTAGGACTTGACCTCAGTGGTGATCCCACCGTAAGTTTTTATTTCATTTTGGTCAGTTCTTGAGGATAAATACATGATGTTGTATAAGAACAAGTGGTTCTAATCTGACTTTGTTCTTACAAGTTTTTGTCTGATGTTTGTTGCTAGGTTGAATGGATTGCCTGTAATCTTGATACCAGGTTAATCCCTATTGCTGTAAGGGACAGATACTCTCACGAAGAGTCAATAGATTAATGTACGATACTGAAAAGTAATGTTTGTCTGGGAAGTGTCTGTTACTAAATTGTCTCAGTCAGATGGACTGGCTTGAGGCAAGTTAAATAATACTGCAAGTTGAAACTAGTTTAAATTTTTTTTAGATGCACTAAATGCTTATTGCATATTAAGAAAGCAAAAATGTTTGAGGATAGCTGTCAAATTGAAGTGAAATAGCTCTAGGTGATAGTTGTAGAAAGGATATCAAAATCAAGACAATTGGCTTGTTCATGTTGGGCATCATCTGTGCTACTGACCTTTGACCAATTTGTCTAAATTTGTGATTTAGACAAATCACAAACATGATGTGACTTGCTGTGTTCAAAACTAAACTAATGGAAAAATAATTCAGTGCAACTGTATTTTAATTAAATATTTTGATATTGCTAGACTTCTTAATAATTGTAATAGGAGAAATTTTTTAAAACAAGCTGCAGAACAGTGATGGTTTTCTGTCTTCAAGGCAGGACATGGTCAAGATTTTTTGGAACCGCTCTCAGAAGCAAAAAAAGCAGGTTTGAAGCTGGCATTGCATCTTTCAGAGGTAAAAGTTTTCTTTGTTTTTGTCCTTCTCTGTAATTCCCATTTTATAAAAACCTTGACGAAACTAAAATTAACTTCTGTGCATTTTGAACTTCTCAGGCCAAAATAGTAATGGTTTGGGGCATTTTAACAAGAGAGAAGAAAACAAGGATCAACAACCTTCCACAATCTGTTCTGAATCAGAAATGTCAAATTACTTCTTACTGTGCTATATCTACTGGCGGGTTAGGTGTGAAATTGAAAATTAGTAATATTCCAAGAGATCCACTGTTTTCTTCCTGGTCTTTTATCAGAAGTCATGTATAGTAAAATTTGCACATTTTCATGAGAGTTCTCTTCTGTCAGTAGAAGGGGTTGGGCTTCCCCATATAATCCATTGGAGTGATAGCTGAAGTTTACTCTGGCAAGTCTGAAAAATACTGAAAGTATTTTTATTTTTTCAGGAAATTAAGCATGACACATAATGTCACAAGCCTGTTTATACTTATTTCTATTTCATTAAGGAGGCTTTTATAGGATATTCCTGCATGCTTCTCTGAAAATATATTCCTAATGTCTCGGTGTTTTGTTTCATTTTTTTGTTCGTTTCTTTGGTTTTGGACTCTTGCAGTTTAAGTTGTTCATGCACCTTTTTTTTAAATCCCTGTGTAAAACAGAGGTTGGAGGTCTTCCTGAGAGGGTACTTTTTAAACTGAAGCATGCAAAGCTGATTTGAGGCCTCCAACTGAAAGTACTTCAGAGCTGCAAATGACAATTGTCTGGTTTTACATATGAATTAAGCGTTATAGCTTCTTTGGTGTGAAATTCCAAGTTGAGAGTCACTTCCAGGGACTGCTTCTTTCTTTGCAGGATACGAGTGCAGATACTTAGCCTCACTAACCTTCCTTTTGGATAGGATATGCTGTGAAAATAGAACTTGAAGTCCATTGTGATGATTTAATGTGCTGTTTTATGCTGCTTTGGCAAAATGTAAAATATATCTTCTCTAGATTCCAAATCAAGAAGAGGAGACCAAAATTCTCCTGGGCCTGCCTCCTGACAGAATTGGACATGGAACATATCTCAACTCTGCAACAGCAGGTACAGAAGAGTTAGTGCCACTTGTTCGACAGAATCATATACCTATAGGTAAGAAAAAAAGTTAAGAAAATTACTTGGTTCAGAATATCATACTTACTGCTGATTTAGTAACTCTGATTTGTCTTTGACTAGAGGTGACTTATAAAACTGTAGCAGTGTATGTGAGAGAATTGCCTGTAAAGGTACACTGGTAATGCATTTGTGTTTTTGACATATTTGTGGCAGCAAACAACAATTGATGTCTCAGATGAAAACAAAACTAGATCATGACTTTTAGTTACTCCGCAAGACTATGTGGTGTTTCTGTACCTGGTTTGCAAGCTCCCCAAATTTTATACCCAGCCAGTAGTTAAGAATAAATTGATACGAAATTTTCCTCGGAAGGTATTACCAAATATTTGGAGCATAGAAAATCAAGGAAACAACAGTAGCTGATCTTAATTGTTATTCAGGAACAGAAATAAGTCAGTGTGTCAAAAACATGTCTCCTGTTTTGATACATAGCCTTGTTTCTTCTTTTTTTCCCCTTAGAACTTTGCATGACCTCAAACATCAAAACTCAGACAGTGCCTTCCTGTGACAAACATCATTTTGGATACTGGTACAACATGGGCCACCCTGCAGTGCTCTGTGTAAGTATTTTGATTTTTAACCATGTATTTGGGCAAAGATCCAAACTAGTGTGAAATTGGAGAAGTATATCTGCTTTTTATGGATCAGAGCTGACTTATTAGCAATTTCTGACCTTGCAGCGAATCTGCTTATAGGAAATCTATGCTGGTTTTGGCCAGAACAGTTAATTTTCTTCACAGTGTTCTGTTTGAGAAATGCTTGTAATACAAATGGGATTTTTTTACTATTTCTCTTGGTTTTATTGTAAAGCAACACGTTTTCTTCTGTATAGATAAGATGTTCAGCTATACATGCAATGACCTTCTTAACGGTTTGCATGCTGACAGATTTCTGTTTAACATATTGGTCCAATGCTTGCATGTAAGCTTGTCCTTACCTGGGTATTTATGCTGTTGGATGAGAGTTCTTGAGTTCTCCTGACACATAATTAAGGTCCTGAAATGTTGAGCTACCAAGTACTTTTGCTGGCATTGGCAGGATTTTACTATCATCCTGTTAGTTTAATCGCTGTAATTTGTAGCATTGTCCAAGTGTGTGTGTATACGAGTGTTGCACTTGTTATTCAAATAAGCCTTTACCGTATAAAGTATTTATTACTGGGTTTGAATTCTGTTGTATTAGGTGTCAAATAATTCATGACTAGAGATTATTTTTGAGATTTTCAATTGTGAAAAGTCTAGATAAGCAGTGAGCTCATGTAAGAAGACAGCTTACCCATAAAGGCCTATAAAAACAAGAGAAGTAGGAGGAGATACTACAGTGTCTTCAGTTTAACAGGACATAGTTAGCATTCTTCTCTGGGGACACAAGGAGTCTGAACTGCAGATGGGTAATCTCATTAACCCTCAAATAATCCTAACTCACTCCTTCCAGATGAATAATATTTAGGTGGCTTTCGATCATGTTTCTGATGCCAGCCTAGCACTTCAGTCAGTATCAATAAATAGTTCTAGTTGACACTAAGTGCGGAGGGTGAGACAGTTTCTTCCCAGAAGATGTAGGAATACAGTGTGCTCTAGTTCCTAGAGTTGAGGAAGAGGGAAAGAGGAATAAGGAGACCAGCATGTACTGACATAGCTTGAATGTACACCATTTGATAGCCATCTTTCTAGCAATCTTAATAGGAAATCCTATTTTCTTAATAAATTGTGCCATCACTTTAAGAATTTTTCATGTATGTTTGAATAGTTTATTGAGTGAGAATAGGGCAAATAAAGTATGAAATAATTACCAACAGATGAAAGAATCATGGAATAAAATGTTAAACAGCAAGAGAAAGCTGGTTTGTAATGTGTAGAAAAAAAAACACATTTTGATTTAGAGGAACTAATTTAAACTTTTTTTTTTTTTTTCTTTCAATTTAACTCCAGACTGATGATAAAGGCGTCTTTGCAACAGATCTGTCGCAAGAGTATGAGCTGGTTGCAAAAACATTTAATCTTACTCGGTCACAGATGTGGGATCTTTCCTACGAGTCAATCAACTATATCTTTGCTTCGAGTGTAGTAAAATCAAACCTAAGGGAACAGTGGTGTAAACTGAAGCCAACTCTGTTTGATTAATCACACTGGTGTTCTAAACAACTTGGCTGTATTAGCTTTGTTAATAAGCATTTTTTACCAAAGTCCCCGGCTTTTTTCAGACTTCAGGTTTATAAAGCCAGCTCATGAACTGTGCCTGTGCGAAATGAAGATGACAGGAATGCTTCCTCTGTTAGTGGGGCTAGAAGTAAATGTTCTTTTGTAGCTGGGAAGGGCTCCCAACCAGTGACTAAAATTCCAAACGTGTCATCATGTCGTTTCTCTCCATTTGATTGGACATTTGAAAAAAAAAAAAAAAATTAGTTGAAATATGTCATCATACTACAAACATTTGAGAATCACAACAAAATAACGGCACAGCTGTTCGGGTTTAAAATGTCTGTGTTGGCAACATGACACTGAGCAGTTTAGATGTATGGTGTGCAGCTTTGGTTTTTGTATTGTTTTTAAACAGAAGTTTTGAGGAACTGATTGAATGTGAAGACAAACAGACTCAGGGAGAATGAAATATCTGTCCCAAAGGCATTAAATATTGCATCTGTTTTTATTGGCGTACGTGTGTGACAGACGCCTGCTGTGGACTGTGTAGTGTACGTGGTGGTGCCTGGCGCTGGCAGCGATTAGGCAAAGTTCCGAACCTTGAATGCCAGAGCAAGCTGTGAGCTACGTGGGGGAAATGGTCTAGTTCTTAAAATGCATTTTAGAATTGCTCTTTGTTTCATCTAAAAAAAAAAAAAAAAAAGCAATAAAAATAGCTTCAACCTCCGTGTTTTTGAAATCGCCACTTGAAGTGCGGGTGCAATGTGCAGGCCGCGGGCGCCTCGCTCGGTTCCGGCGGGGCCGGCTTCCCTCCGCCCGGCTGCACGTGAGCCCCGATGCCGAGACACCAGAATCCACGTGCACGTACACCTACAACGCGACCTAATGCTAGGTGCTGCTAGCTAGTGCAGGAAGTATCCACAGAGAAGGTATCTAATACCTAGTATGTTTTTATGTCCATTAATTGAACAGGCAAGCATTCTGGGCTCTACAAGGAATGCTGAATATAAATACAGTGACTGTTCATGACTTCTGTTTTGGTCTTTTTTCATAAAATCAGCAGGAAATAGTTGTTCTGGCCCCAAAGTGACAGTAAGAAATCAAAAAAAAAAAAAAGCCGAGGGCATGCTAGCAGAGAAGTCGATAGTCTGTGTGGTTACGTGAAGTTTCCACAGAGGGTTTTCCAAGCAGAACATATTTCTTTTGGAGATGGGGGAAAACTTACGTGAAGCAGAACTGTGGGTTTATATATTCTTATCTGAACTCAGAATAAGACCTCAGGCTGACTTTTTATTTAGAAATAGTACTTCAAATTACATTCCAAATAGTTTCACTAATCACTTTATCTTTTGTTGTTTGATCAAGTTGAGTTATCACTTGCTGTTGGAGTTTGTATTTTTTTTGTACAAAAATAATTGCTATGGTAAATGTGTTCTTTTTCCTTATTGAAAAGCTCTCTAAAGACAGCAGCTTTCTGGAATGTTAGTTATGTACATCTTGGTCTCAGGAGAAGTGGGCCTACGCTCAGGTGAGATGCCATTCTCCTGTAAAGTAAGTTTTCTAGTTTTGTATAGGTTATGGCCTTCTAATAAGTCTTCAGTAACAGAGCATTTGGTTTATTAATGAAGAAAAACTGTCAACTTCCTGTTTATTTACCAGTGGGTCACCCTCAGTGTTCATTTTATGTCAGGTGTAAAACTTTCTAAAGCAAAATGACTCATAATTAGTGTCTGCTGACATTTTTCATTTCAAACTTTAAGTGTTAGAAGTAAATTTGATTTTTAAGGTTTACATGTTGAATGTGACATGTAGATGTGTTCATTCAAGGAGCAAAGCCCTGGTAAATGCTATTTTCAACTTCCTTTTTTTCCTGCAAGCATACAGTGTCTTAGTTTTCTAAGATGATGGACTGTAACATCTAGCTCTCAGTATTTCCATTTAATTGACTTCGGTGCATCTTCAGAATACTGCCTGGTAGTGCCCCCAAACAGTCTGGTACATGATGACACACGAATGCTGCATAGTTTTGTAAACAAAAAAAATTCCACTTCCCATATGATTCATGGAACAGTTGTTGCTATGGTGAAACATACTGCTGTTATGTCATCTGGAGTTATGGAATCACTCTTCTGAAGACTGTACTGCCCAGTCACACAGGCACTCGCAGATGTGCTGCCGATTCCAGAAAAAACACCACTTGGTGTTTAACAGTGTTTGCAGCATCGCAGCCCATAATGGAATTCAGGAGGCAACCTGTGGGATTCCAGCTGTGTGAAGTGCAAGGACCAGGCATGTATTTGGGTGGCTAAAGAACGTTACACAGAACTGGGGGATTTCTGTATGTTGGTTTCTAACGGTGTGTTACTGCAGTTATTTACACTGCAGAACTTTTACACTTAGAGTGGAAATGAAGGTTGGAAAGGATGTGGAGAAGTTTTGGAATGAAGAATCATCGTCTGCTTAGAAGTTTGTCAAGCACCGTTCCCAAGTTGTACAGAAGCTGAAACCTCAACTTCTCACTGCTGCTGGGCTATTTTTCAGGAGCAGAACTTATAAGTAAAACTGCAGGGGTTCCTTCTTTGGCTTCAGGTAGGATTATAGTTAATTTTAAGTGCTTCTTGCTGAGCCTGCTTCTTAAATCCTGAGTTAACAGTGAGATAACAATTGTTTAGTTTATAATATGGTATAAAAATGAGTGTGGCAGTGTTGGAGTGAAGCATCACCACTGAAGTAGCCATCAGTAATGGGCAGAGGAGATTTTTTTTTTTTCCCCCCTGAATGCAGTGGAAATTTCAAGTAGCTATTTCTAGAATTTAACATGTTATAAGGTTTTAAGTATCTATTCACATGCAGCTCAACTTATTTTTAAAGTAAACAAAATAGAACTAGACCAAATTAATATTTTTGTTTATTTCCATCTGATTATATGAGGTAGCACTTAAAGAACAGTCTCCAGTGCTCGCTCACAGTCTTCATTCACATTACATGAAAATATACACTTCAGTTCTACTAAATATTTTCTTTGGAGATGTATGCAAGCAGAGCAACTGTTAACTGTACGTAGGCTAAGTTTCTCAAAAGGAACTCTGAGACAAACAGAGTCTCCCAAACCTCTATGTCTTATGATCAGGCTGGCAGCATACCACAGCTTGCTGAATACAACCACTACACTACATATTTACACCCTGCTCTTCAGACTTGTAGCTTTGCAAATAATGTAGTTACGTGAATTATTTCTATATTTAGGCATTTGTTCTGGTTTTGGCTGGGATAGAGCTAATTTTTCCTTGTTAGTAGCTAGAATAGCACTGTGTTTTGGATTCGGTATGGGATTTGCTATGAGAAGAATGCTGATAACACACTGATGTTTTCAGCTGTTGCTGAGAGATCGAGGACTTTCTAACTCCATGTCCTGCCTGTGCATGGATGTACGAGAAGCTGGGAGGGAGCAAGGCCAGAGCACTGGACCCACACCTGCCTGTGCAGTATTCCATCCTGTGCAACGTCACACTCCGTATATAGATGAAAGTTGGCTGGGAAGCTCATGCTCGCTTCTGGGATTCTCTTCTCTGGGATTGCTAACGGGGAACAGGCTGGGCAGTGGTCAGCAGATGGTGAGCAACGGCACTGTGCATTCTTGTTTGTATTATTCTATTACTATTTTATGTAATTTCAATTACTAAATGGTTCTTATCTCAACCTATGAGTCTCCTTACCTTTACCCCTGCAGTTCTCTCCCCCATCCCCTGCGTTGGTGTTCTGCTGCCCTCTTGGTTTAAACCACAGCAGCATTTCAAACTAATACATTTTAAAAAATAATGATGCACATAAGGGCATTGCCTTAGATAAGTGCATAAGATGATTAAGAAACTGGAGCATCTCTCTTGTGAGAGGCCTAGAAAGCTGGGGCTGACTAGGGAAGAGGAGGCTCAGGAGGAGATCTCACTGATGTTTTTAAATATCTGATGGGGAGGGGTAAAGAAGATGGAGCTAGGAGCTTCTCAGCAACACCCGGTAACAGGAACAGGGGCACAACTGGGAACACAGGAAATGCCACCTGACCGTAAGGAAACACTTCTTACTGTGTGGGTGGCTGAACACGGGAACACAGGGCCCAGATGGGCCGGGGAGTCTTGATCCTTGCAGATACTCAAACCCAAGGTGACCTGCTGCAGGGGACCCTGCCTGGGCCGAGGAGGCGGACTGGACAATCTCCAGAGATGCCTTCCAACCTCAAGTGCTCTGTGGTTCTGTGAAGAGAATATACAAATATACAAATGATAAAGTCTATATGAATACAAAATCTTTTAAATACTGACTTAACTCAGTCACTCAAGTGACATTTCTTCACCAGGCTTGACCAAAAGCAGTTGACTGCTGTGTGAGATTGTTGTTAAAGAACAGTTCGTTCATTCTTCACAGCCTTCCTTCTTTCACATCCGCTGTGGAAGCCTTTAGTGCCGTCGGGGCCCCTGGGCAGCCGCAGCACCCCTACCCGCAGACCATCTGCATTTTGTATTTTCCGAGCCAACATGGGGCTACTGCTGGGACTCTTCTCGTGTGTTACTGTTTGAGCTTTTCTCCTCTGTACCCAGGGGCTACCAGAAGGAGTGATACTGCTATCCGAGGAATAATCCGTACATTTCCCTGGAATTTCAGGGCTAGTGCTTGAGTTAAGCTTGCTGTCTTCAGCCAGCGGAGACTTTTTGATTACTTTTCTCAGTGAAGATGGACTGCTCCAAGGACTTGATCTGGGTGACACATTAGGACTCAAATGGTTGGCTGGGTGAATGATGGGGCTCAAATTACTTGTAGTATTTATTGCAGTACTTCTGCGTCCTGACAATGGTGATGTAGGATTACTCTCCGGGTCAGAAGAGCTATTTGCTGAAGATTCATCACCAACAAACTGAAGTTCCTCAACTCTCTTATTAAGGGATCTAGGCTTCTTAAGACTTTTGCTGGTATCTTCATCACGGTTCTTGTCTTTGGGAACTTTTTTCTTTGGAGGTTTCATGCCTATTAGGACAACTTTCATGCCACTCTCTTTCTTCTCAGCACACATGAAGTCATGAGCACATATGGCAGCATCTACTTCTTCAAATTCTACAATTGCACATTCCTGAGTTCCCAGCTGGCTGTACCGATTGCTGACCCTCCTGATATCAGGTGGTAGGTCCCTACCAGGCTTGAGAATACGAACTGATGAAATTACACCAAACCTTAGAAAGGCTTTGAGGAGATGCTCCGTTATCCTTTCTTGCATGCATCCATTTTCTTGTTGGTGGTTAAGAACCTGCAGCTCAGATATCATGTGGATATCATACACCAGTAACATCCTGGTAGGGAGGTTTTCACTTGGAAACACAGGAACTGGAGTCTTTCTTCTAACTTTTCTGTTATCGTCATTGAGCTCAAGAATGTCAGAGTACTTCAGTGCATAGGCTGTGGTTCTCCAGTCACGGGTAAGGTGTTTCACCTTGAAGACAGACACAGGTTAAGCAGCACAACTCCTCAAACCCACTCAGAATAATTACAGGAGGTGTAAGGTAGATGCAGGCTCCAGTCTGCAAACGGAAACCTGGATTTAAGTTTCCTGTGGCAGACTTTTGTGAAAAAGTAAACGGTTTTCCTGCTATACGGGGCATCAGTGAGCTCTTGTCCTGTTGAATCTACTGAAAATAGGAGCTGACACTAAATCTCAAACTGAAAATCATTATCTTAAAGCCTCCTCAAGTGATGGTCGGTCATATCTAGGTCTCAACCATGACCAAAATGCATGTTCTGTGGGTTTTATTTTGTTAAATTTGCCACACAGTTCTGCCAAGTTTAGGGACTCCATTTTATTGAACTGATGTTTCCTCCCTCTAAAATCTCAGTTAAAAAACCCCTGACCTTCTCCATGTCCAAGGACTGTTTTTAAGAGTTTATCTGTTATCCGTATAATCTGTTTGAAGTGGTCTGAAGAAACTGGGTGTGCCTTAACTTCTACACTGAATAGCTCTGCAAAACTCAGATTCAGTATTTTGACAAAGTGTTTCTGATGTAGTTTTAGAAATCAGTTACATACATATACGTACATAAGAGTTTCTAATGTAAAAAAGAAAAAAGAATAAAACCCTCCTCACCTTTAAGTGACTTCAGTTACCAGCTACTCTTAATTTTTGGATCTCCATACATTTGCAAAGGTCAGATTCACCATCCCTTCTCAGAGATAAGAAAGTAACTTCATCAGGATTACTTAGCTACTCATGTAGTAGCTCATCTAGAAATGAATTTTATCCGATGTCCCATTTACTATGCCATACTCTCTCCCAGAATGTAGGAGCTTAGTTGCTTAAAAGCCTATGATTTCTCTAACCAATCATGAACGAGTTCAGCAATTAAAGTTCTGGATGAGAACAAACCTAACTATCACATCAAAACTGGATCAACCCCTGAGAGAGGCAAAGAGGAGGACTCTACAACCACCTCTATAAAGTAAGTCATTTTCATCTCATTTCTCCTAATGTTTTTCGACTCATCAGGCTTACAGAGGCACTTCAAGTCTTAAAAAGTTAGCTTACCTTCTTAAAAGAAGTGAGGAGTTTAACACTGACATAGCCCATCTTATTTCTTCTCACATGCTTTAGAAGGAAGGCATCTTTCTCAAGGTTCTCATCTGAGAAGTAATATTCAATCTGTGCTATTAACTTCTGGATCAGGTCATCTTCTGGTGGTTTCCAGTTCTTGTCAGAGTCATCATCATTTTCCCCACCACTGGAAAATAGTTAAATCATTTTATTAACAGATCCTCATCTTACGTTAGTGGATTCAAATAGTCCTTCCAAACAAAAAGGAACAACTGTAATGCTGATTCCAACTTACCTGTTCAGTGCCTGTCCATAAAAGTATCACCCTATCCATCTGAGGCAGGAGGCCAGCTCAGAGGATGAAGCTTTCCAGTCAGCACAAGGAGTCAAGGTCCTGAGCCCATTCCAAAAGCTGATCTCAGTGTAGAACAATGAGACATATACACTAGCATCTTGAAAACACTCTGCCAACTCAGGTCCTACACCAAAACATGAGATGCAGATGCCCAGGCGCTCGGTGCTATACGAAGTTCCTCCGGTGAGTGTGTTTTATTTTTCAGGACGAAGCTATTAAACATAGGCTCGACATTTATGTGCTTCCTGGGTAGTGTCACATACCAGTGAATAAATATTCCAGCTTGATGCAACCATGATTTCTCAAGCCTCATCACTGCATGAATACAGGAGCCAGTATCCAGGGAGTCAGAAAGGCTGACAGGACTATGGCACTTTCTACAGGTCCCTTCCAGAGTGACAGAGTACAAACTAGCAGTTTACCAAGGGGCTTAAACTGTATGTATGTTTCAGATTAAGGACTTTGGTGTAGTAGCAGCTCAGGTACCTCAGGAACAGCTGTATTTCACACATACAGGGGTTGCTAAGAAGTCATTCTCACTTTCTCTCTCCCCCTCCCATCATGTTGTCTAGATATCTGTGCAAAACGGAGCACTACAGAGCATCTTATCCCAAAAAAAGGTACTGCAGCCATGGATTTGAGATTAACTTCTTGCCACATACAGCAACATGTTTGTTGCCTCAATACAAACAACCATTTAAATTTTTACCTAGCACTGAGGTAAATAGCTCGCCCTCAGACTACAGCCATAGATGTTACTCTAACAACTGTAATGCTCAAGGCTATCTTTAGCCAGAGTCATTTTTTTTTAAAAGCTTTTAGCAGTCTAGTTTTGCCATGGGACCATCATGGAAGTTTCTGTTAAAAAGCTCTCTAGACCTATAAATCCTGTATTGCTTTGGTCTCCTATGTACCTCAGCAACAAGAAAGGAGGAGCCACGCATTTTCCCCAAATTGTCTTAAATGGCTTTTGCAGAGCTCATGAAATCATTGAAGAAAGGCGCAGGCATTGCACTGGGGGCCGCAGCGGGCAGCCTGGCAGGGAGGAGCCAGGCTACTGAATCACCTTGCCTTGTGCCAGTCTTGGCCTGGAGCTGAACTGGAGCCGGTGCTCTTACTGCGGAGGGCCGTGCGCTGCCGAGGCAGGTGCCTGCTGTGCACCTGAGGATGCTCTTCGGGTCAGTGCGCTCCGCACAGGGACTGTGCTGCCAGGTGTGACAAGTTACAGCAGTTCTCTGGGACCTGGCTCTTCAAAGCCAATGATTTATTTACTTATCACAGTTCTTCCAGTGCTAGGGCAACACAGCAGATCTACATGGATACTCACTCACACAATCCTAGAAGTCTCCTTGTCAAAATCTTCTAGCCACTTAATGGGGTACAGTTCAAAGGAGTGACAGAAGTGAGAGAGCAAGAAAAAGATTTTTAAGTTGTTTGACAGTGCCAGAAGCAGAAGATAATAGATGGTGTTATGATTAAGATAGTAAAAAGGCCAACTGTGGGTGTGAGTTTCAGAAGGAAGAAAAAACAAGGTTAAGTGTTGATTTTTCATTCGGGATATTCCCTTACCCCACTACTACTCATTTTTCATTCACTGCTGATTCAGAACTAGTGTGGGCACCAGAAACTTAGACCATTTCAGCATTTTTACATAGCCACACTTTGCCAAGAAAAGCTTACCTGCAATTCAGGATGGAGCTTACAGGTTTTTTAGATAATTTATTAGTACAGACATTTGCAGGTATTTGGAAGGTTTGGATGGAAAGAATGGAGCATCATGCTTGGGAAAAAAAAAACCTAAAAGTGAACTGCATGTTTGCGAAGATCAGTACCACCCTTATTTACAGTGTTAACACACTGAATCAGAGTGAAACAGGTCTCGTTTCACCACTCTAAATTGAATATTGGTCACAGTCTGAAATACATAACATTTCTGCATTTGGCAGACTGCTCAGCTTTTACAAAATCTTTAGGGCTCTTACAGCAGCTCTCACTAAGTACTGTATAGAATTTCCACCTACAGCAAATGCAGTAATTTGTAACTAGCTCTGTATTAGTTCATGGTAATGATCAAATGGTAGTACCTCTAGGTGTCAACTACTACAAAAGTAGTTGATAAATCAGTATCAGTCAACACTGAAAAAGGCTAGTAATTCGCAACTTTCATCTGCTTTTTCCTCTATTCAGAGCTTTGTGAAGGATACACTTCTCAAAACAGTTAGGACAGTCTGAAAAACAATCTTAACATGGTGACTCATCTGGCTCTTAGTCAGACAAGAAACTAAACACATAACTCCTCAGAGAATAGATTTTGGAGTTTAAATATCAAAACTCGCAAACAATATATTAAATTGTCTGGATAGAGTCTAACCTTTTGACAAGTTTGTACCGAGTCTTGAAAAGAATAAGGTATTGTAATAATAAGCACTATGTGGCAGTACCATTTACAGCACAAAGTTGATGTTGCAACAGTACAATCGCTCAAAGGCAGTGCAACTCTGTTAACAAAAACTAATGGATACAATACTGGGTTCCTACTAGTGGGACATGGAGGCGCAGCCATCATTAAATTTCAATTTCTATTGTGACACATTTGAGACTGACATCCTCATAAAACCATTCACCCTTCAAGCTCAGATTCTTCCTGTGTCTGTGCATCCAAAACAAACCTGAGCAAGAATAGCTTTACTTTATGCATAGGAGAACCACCTCTTTGTTATCAACAGTCTGAAGATTTTTCTGAAGCATCTGGCAGCTAACTGGCTGAGGACTGAACGCCACAAATACTCAGAGATCTTCTCAAGAACTGTGGTGTCTTATCCATGGGGAAAGGTTGTTCATTTCTGAGGTTATAAAACCCCAGAAACTGAGGAAGAAAATCTAAATTGTCAGCTAGCTTAGCTGGAGAGTGAAATGGCTCATTCTCAGCAGTTTTAGACCATCACTGACAATGTTCCAAATATTTGGGTAAATAAATTCCTATCAGATGTTGCACTCCCAAAACTGTATCTTTACCTAAGGTTACATGTAAATGGCAAGAGCACGTATGACCTCCACTCACCTAATTTTAATGCAGAGCCTTTATAGTTCTCTCCATGGCAATACCTCTGGCCTTTCCTAGATCAGGAAGAGGCCATTTACAAAAAGGCAACCTCCACAAGAACTGCATGTACACCAGTACTGTCAGCAAACATTCCTGAAGATAGCACCTACTGTAGAGGATTAAATCTTGAAGAAAATAACCACCCCTTTTTCTAGTCTGGGTCAGCTCTTACACAAGTAACAATGTCAAGGAAAACAAATGCAAAAAAATATTCTGAGTTTAAGAAATTAGTAATTGGAACGCAACACTGTAGACTGCCATATTCGTTTGATTTATAAAAATAAGACAGTCACATATGACTGTGGAAAGACTAGTCAGACTCAGTTTAAGTGTTTTACTTGTGTCTCGCTACACACCTCCTGTTTCTGTAGTGTGTAGTTGACAACTTTTGCAGCTGTAGAATAATTTGCCCTCCCCAGCTACCCCTCTGTAATTTAAAAGAATGCACTGCAGTTTGTTCTGAGTCAGTGCTAGAATACAAAGTTAGAATCGACTAGAAAGAAACACTATTTGAACAGAATACTGAATTTCATACTACTGTACCTAAATGTTTATGTGAGTGAAAATATTACCGCATCTGCAGCTTTAGTACAAAACACAAAATGAACTACAACTAGTCAGCTTTGTCTCTCTACAGATTTCTGGCAAAAAAAACCCTGGATGTTCCTTCTACAAGTAGAAGATTTCGTGTCTGGTCAACTTGTCTCCAAAGCCATGGAACAGGTCTACTTGTCCATGTCGTAACTACTGAAGAAAATCTCTACGGTTCTATGCCATAAAAATCCAACGGTAAAAAAAGAAAAAAGAAAAACAAACAAACAAAGCAACAAAAAAAACCCTCAGCAAACACCAAGCCACAACCACCAGCCGCAAAACCCTTTCTGTCGAAGGCAACAGAATGTCGGGGGCAGCTCTGCGCGGCGCCGCTCACGCCGGCCGTTCGCGGGGGGACGCGCAGCCCTGGCGGAGGCCGGGGGGGGGGAGGTGGGGGGTGGGTTGCAGCTCCCGCCCCGCCCCGCCGGCGTTGCGTCAGCCGCGGCCGCACCGTTACGCGGGTGTCCGCGCGGGCCCCGCTCCTGGCCCCGCGCAGCCAGGCCCGCGGGGAGCGCCGGGCGCCGCCGGGGCCCCTGCCTGCCCGCCTTCCCGCCGCCGGGGCCCCTGCCTGCCTGCCTCCCTCCGCTCCTCTCCCTCCCTCCCCCCCCCGCCCCGGCGGACTCACCTGCAGCGCCCGCACCGCTCCGAGTCCTCCTCGCTGCAGCTGCCGCCGCCCCGCGCCGCCGGGCACAGCGCGCCGCCGCCGCCCTCCTCCTCCTCCTCCTCCGCGGCCGCCTGGACGGCCACTCGGATCCGCACGGGGCCGCTCCCCGCCCTCAGCTCCCCGGCCCCGGGCTCCGCCGCCTCGGGGCCCGCAGGGCTGGCCGGCTGCCGCTGGGCCATGGCGTCCGGAGCGGAGCGCACCGAGCCGCCGGCCCGGCCCGGCCCAGCCCGCCGCCGCGGCGATGCCCCGGGCAGCGGCCGCCGCCCCCCGCTCCTCCCCGCCCTCCCCTCCCGCTGAGGCGGCGGCGCGGGCCGAGCCGCGGTGGGCCGGCGCTCCCCGCTCCCCTCCCCGGGGCGCGGCCCGGCCCGGCGGCGGCGGGGTCCGTCCCTCCGCCCGCGATGCCGCGGGAAGGGCTGCAAAGCCTCGGGCCCGTTACACTTTCTGTCCCGCTGACGGCTGAAGCGGGGCTGCTTTTGTGTCGACGGGAAACAAGCGGCTCCTCACCGGAGAGCAGCGTCCCGGCTTCCCGTCCCCTTGTCCAGCCGTGGGGCTGCGTCGCTGGGTGCTGACCAGAGCGTTGCATTTTAAGAAATTCAAAAAGGTTATGCCGGGCTAAATTGTGGTTTTAAATGCTGAGGATGAGTTTGGTAAATAAGAAAACGGAGTGAACAAGGACATGGTTGGATATACATTATTTTGGTAGAACGCTCATCTAATTCTGCGTGGTACTTCAACAGAATAAAAACATTCCCCCATAAGAGCTTATTAAAATAGAGGCCCCTTTTCTGAAACCCCTATGCATTGATTTATATTTAAGACTGTTGCACTATATTTCAGTGGACAGTTTCAGCTATTAAAGTGAAATTTAACATTAATGTTTTCAGGATTAGAATCTAAAGCATTTCAGTTTACCAAGTAACCACTCACTCTTCAGTCAGGGAAGATTTTTTTTCAATACTATCTGAACCCAAACTGCTGAACGCAGGCTGGATCTTTAAGTCCCCACTTCATTGTGGCACCCTTGTTTTTGTCTGTACAATTAATCTGAATTGTACCCCACTGTATTGCTTAAAGGTTTTCTTCTTAAAACCTTTGGATGGACAAAAAGTAAGACTGCACTTGGGTCAGTTCTTCCCGTCACTGTGACCAACAGTGCTCATGAGTCAGATGTGCCAGCACAAACACACCATGGGACTACTGCTCTGCCTTGGTGGGTTTGGCTCAGTTTTTAATGTGCCTTAAGGAAATCAGTATTTTGTTTATGAAATACACTTACATGCATCACTAACCAAATCTCTAGTTCTCTGTTAATGGAACAGCATTTGCTAGTAAGTCTTGAGTAGTGCATGGCTGTACTATCAATTTCTGTGGCAACAGAAATACAAACACAAAATACACATTCTAGGAGAGAGTACATACGTGGATTGTGGATCCGATTCTGTACATGAGTGCATGGGAGTTGTTTGCCTCCCTGGGCAGACACAAGGTCAGGACCAACATGAGCAAAGAACTATTTTGTGCTACAGCTAACCTAGATGATGTCTAAGAGGGACATTTTGGTTTATCTGATGACTCCTGTCAAGGTTTAGTGAACTTGATTTTATAGGAAGGACACTAGATCTGTTTTTTTTTGCTTTACCAGCAGTCACTGCACAGAACTGGCTTTTGGCCTTGCCAACATTTAGCTCATTTCTTTGAAGAATCCTACTATCATTATCATCTAGTCTGCTACAAATATATTAATAATGTTAAGAGAATTAGTGTAGATGAAGACTGATGTAATTTCAAACACTCTGTTGATTAGGTCTCCATTGAAACTATCAGGCTAATGTTTTGGGTTGTTTTTTTGTTTGTTTGTTTTTAATATAGCCACATTCTATAAAGCTTTACTAGCAGAGATTAAGCAGTATTTTTAACTGTGGGAGAATTTAAGACTAAACGAATAATGAAGGCAAGTCACTTAGAAGGGTTGAACCCAAATCTCAACTGAGCTTCTGATACCCAGTTAGGATTATAAACCCATGAACCTCAACTGTGCAAAACTTTCATAGATTCCTTACGGCACATTAATTGTTGGCAGAGTATTGTCTACATATAAAAAAACCCACCGACATATTGTATATTTCTCACATGATAAGCCACAACGACATGATTTTTCTGGCAGCCTTTCAGCAAATGGTAACTAGAACAACAGGCAAACCTAAACCCGAGATACGGGGCGGGGAAGACACCATGAGGGAATTCCCAGCCCTTCCCCACAGCGCCAGGCACCGAGCGAGCTCTGGATGTGTTCACAAGCAGCCGCGACCCCCCGGGGTGCCGGGGGAGCCCGCAGGGGCTGAGGCGGCCGCTGGCCTGGAGCGGGCGGCGCTCGGCGCACCAGCCCCGCGCCCAGCCCGAGGCAGGCTTCCACGTCCCGCGGCGAGCGCGTACCTGCACGGCAACTTCCCGAGGCACAGCAGGGCGCCCACCTTCTTGCCCTTCCGCGCACAGTCACTGGCGGTTAGAATTCAGAAAGACACGACCGCATTAGCGTCTTTTTACGAGGGGGGAGCTGACGGGCGGGCGACGGCCGCGCCCCTGCGAAAACCCGACGGGAGGGCGCCCGGCCGGGCTTCGGGGGGCGGGGGAGCGGCGCGGCCGCCCCTCACGGCTTCTCGGCGGGCGGGGCCTGCCGGGAGCGGGCCGGAAGCGGCGGTTGCCGCGGTAACGGCGGAGCGATTTCCGACAGGGGCGGCGGCCGGTACGGAGGTGTGAGGTGTAGTGCGGTCCCGCGGGAGCAGGGTGCCATGGTGCCCAGTAAGTGCCGGCCTGGCAGGGGCCCTCGGGCCGCGCCCGCCTCGGTAAGTGCTGTCGTGGTGGTGGCGGCAGCTGCTCCTTCCTCCGCCGTCGGGCTGTGGGGACGCAGCGGGGGTGTTCCTCCGCTACGCGCCATCGCGCTGTGCCTCGGCCGGGCCGGACCGCCCTGCTGAGCTCCGCCGCGCCTCAGCAGGGCGGGCCCGGCCCGGGGCGGGGCGGGGCCTCCGTGGGGCTGAGGGCGCGGAGGAGCGCGGGTGTTGCGCGGGTTGGGGCTGCGCAGGTGGTCGAGACCGGGGGGGGCAGCCCCCGCCGCTCCGCGCTTCGAGGGGCGGGGGTGAGGGCAGCTCGGTTTTGTCGGCGCCGTGACTGGCGTGAGGGAACTCCGCTGGGGTTAGTGGTGTGCCGCCTGACACTGCCTGTGGAGTAGGTATATAAGCCCTGAGGTTAAGTATTTCTATTTAGCTTTTTAATTTAGAAGGTAGGTGCTATGTCATGTCATACAAATCAAATTAAAAGACCAGCACGTTTTGCCTTTTAAACAAAAGTAAATGATCATATTTAAGCTTCAACGCTTGTTTTCTTCATAATGAGGACAGCATCCCTACGAAAATTATGCTTTCAGTGCACTTTTGAAACTAATCCCAGTGGTTTCTTTTTAAGCTAAAAATTATTTAGTGTTGCTTACTGCTGTGATGTATTCTTCATAATAGTTTGGAAAAATAGTTCCTTCCTTGGCAGATTTTGCTGTTGAAAAAATCTTTATTCTTTTAAAAGAGTTACATTCAACTTACTGTGTTGATATGCGTTTTTGAAAAATGTCATGTTATGTTTCTTCCAACTTGCAGGTTAATAATTGTGGTCTTCAACTGGTTATCCAGACTTCATCGATAGCAGATAAAAGCAAAGCAGTAATTATTACCCTTTCTTTAATAGTTACATTAATTAATGTAGTTGTATGATACAGCTAATTTTGTGTGCTTTCAGATAGGAATTGCCTTTTCAGTAGTAATATGTTCACTTTTAATATAAATTCTGATAGTCTTTGATAATTTATTTTATCCTATTAAAGATACATAAAGTAAAAACAGAGGGATATACTACAGCTTGACATAAACTTTATACATATATGATTTTTTATGCTTCTATCCGTACCTCTCTTTATCCTGTAATTGCAGTACTCCTTGTAGGGTGGAAGTTTTTTCTTTATTTAGTCAACTGCAGGTGAATGCACTGTTAACTTCCATATTTCATTTTGGTTTCTAATGCTGAAACTTGTCAGTCATAGTATCTTAATAGAATGAATACTCTTTTTATTGGAGCAAGTATTTATTTATTTTAAAGCGTTTGCAGAGTTTCCCGAGAACTGTAGTTTTTGCATCTGAAAGATTTAACATTTGTCTTAAATATTGTGTTACAGTTTGAATTCAGGATAAATAAAGAACAGTCATCTTTCCACAATAGACTTCTGCAGCATGATCTGGAAAAAAACTATTCGGGAAGGCAAGGTGATATTCAATAGGGTTTGGTTTGTTTGTCTTTTGTATCTCTTTATATTAACAATAAAGAAAGAACGTATTATGGCTAGAATATGTGAGAGTGGAAGCTCTTCCTAATTGACTACAGTAGTTCTATATAATTACTGCTGCATCATGTCCTGAACCTGCTCTCCTTCCACTGCCTAGTGCAGATAGATTTGTTTGTTTGTTTGTTTTTTGTTTTTTTCCCCCATCACTTTTTGCCCCATTCTGTCCATGGAAGAGTGTCCTTTCTTATACCTACAAAGCCACAGTCTATCAAGTGCCCTACTAAACGTTCCCTCAGAAGACACACTGTTTTGTACTATAACACTTAATTGGGTGTTTAACATTTTAATGTATTCAGACAAAATTAGTTTCTAATTCAGAACCTTGCTATGAAGAGAGACTTTTCCTATTGTGCTTATGTTCTTTTTGGCTTTGAAAAGCAAGATGTTTGGTGATACCACCAATAATTGTGGTGAAGTCTGGAAGAGCCTTGAAACTCAACACTTCTGGCCACACTGCTGCAGCTTGCCTGTCATATTAAAACAGTGATTGGTTAGGATAGCGGATCAGTTTAATTATGGTGGCAATATGTTATTCATTCTGGTAAAAAATAGAGACCAACAGCTGTTCAGAATGGATTGATTTTTAGAGATATTATGCAACTAATTGTGGAGTAAACTTAAGTCTGCAGTTTGGTTTTGTTCCCCAAACAGGAGACCAAAGAGTGTTGAGTCCTTTGGTGCGTAATAAGCAGATCTATCTTCCAGTACCATCCAGTCTGACAGAACTTTCGAGTTTGGAATTGAAGCAGAATATTGGTTCTTTATCAGGATTTGGTGAGACTTCTATTCACACACCCACAAAATCCAGATCCCGACAAAGCAGCCACAATATAGGTTCACATGCTTCAGGTAACAGTGAAAACTTCTCTTCTTAGTCTCTCTTTTTTTTTTTTTTTTTTTTTTTTTAAACTGGATGTCTTACTGAAAAGTTATGACCTGTAAGATGTGCCGCTTCTGACTGTCAGAATGTGTGACTGAATAGCAAGTGCTGCCAGCTGTTCCCTTTGGGTATTGAGAGGTTAATAGATCATTGTCAGGAAAATACTATAAATTTTTTCCAAAACATACTAAAGGCATTTCATAAACCTTTCTTTAACAAAAGGGCAGTAGTATGGATCTTTCGCACTTATTTTTAGGAGGGTGACATTAGAAAAACAAAGTCAATGTACTTCCATCATGTCATGTTTCAGAGTGATTTTTAAGTCTATGGTCTTATATTTATTGTCTTAAAAACCTGAGACACAATTATTTTAAGACTTTTGTCACAATGTTAATTGATTATATTCAATCTCAATGATTTTTTTTTTTCCCTTCACAGTTTTTTTCACTTTGAATGATACATAGAGGATGTTGGTTGGTATACTGGTTTGTTAGAGTAGCTAGTGATAAAATGTTAGAGAGTAGCACTGAAAAGATTCTAAATTGAACAATAATATATAGGTGTCTCTTCTAATGGCACATTTTGGACAACAATGAACTTTCTAGGGTAGTAAAGAAATGGTATTTGTTAGGTGAAGAACTGTTTTTCCAATCAACCTATTTGGTTTATTTGAGGGAAGAAGGAAAAAAAAAAAAAGGGAGAGCAGAGCAAACACGTAGAAGTTGAGCCTATGTTCCTGTGGTCATATGCATGCACGATGATCTATTTTTGACCAATATTTTTCAGTGGATCACTTTCCAAGTAAGCCAAAGCTTGCAGAACACATTAGTTGATTTATTTTACAGGTATTTTTAGTTCCTCCCTCTTTCCCCTTATGTTAACAAAATGATATCCAAAGATGGATAGCTTTGTAAATACATTTTGAAGGGCTGCCTGTTTCTTGATAACAGAATGAAATCTCATACTGGCCATTACTAGGTATTGTGTACGCTTACCTTTAAAAGATTTTGCATTTGTTTGTGGCTCAGTGGGATTGTTTCAACATTTTAGTGCTTTAGTTTCTAGTTCTATCAGCATTACTTTAGCTGTGTCTTTAAATTAATCTTGTTAGATAATATCTTCTTTAAGTTGAGATATGGAAATTGTGAAACGTTTGTACAAACTTACCTTAAAATATCATTGGGTAATTCTAATCAAAATAAAAGCATCTACAAAATACCTGCTTACAGCAAATTCTTGATAAAAGCATCTCAGAAATGAAACAAAAGGATTTACTTTGGAAAGAGGATGTAGAGGAGTGTAGCTGTAAACAAAAGATCATAGGAAAGAAAACTGGTAACTCCAAGTACTGAATGGAGTCATAAAGCGCTTTCATGTGTTCTGTAACTCTTAATAAGAAACAAAATTTTGCTTTTACTATTTGTAGTTAATGAAATGATTTTACAAAGGAGTAGTTGATATATTCTCTTTATGATTTTCTGATAGAGAACACAAATTTGGGGAGCAGTTCATCAATAACATTTCCTGTATTGCAACGTACTGCTGAAGAAAAAATACTGAACTCTGATAGACTTACCCTGGAGAGGTGAGAGGTTACGGAGCACATACACCATAGCTTGAGACACTTGTCTGATGGCCTAAAGTGATGAGTATCCCGGTAATGCCTGTGGTCAGCAGTATTGGGTTTGTTGGGTTTTGTGTTTGTGTGTGTTTTTGAGAAAAGAACTGTGTCCCATAGAGGAATTCTGTATGAGTGCCCTTGTGATGAATATGTCCATACAGCAGGCATCTAAGGTGTTTAGAGCTTTTCCTTGTAAACTAAGGAGCTCACTTAAAAGTTGAATCCAAGGTCATGCATATAATTGATAGGAAGAAGCTATGTCTCTTAGTTCTACTCTGATGCATTAACTGTAGAATGGTCTCTTTTTTTTTTTTTTTTTTTTTTTAAAAAAAAAAAAAAACTAGGACACAAAAAAAGGTTTTGTCTGAAAGATGTTTAATTGTAACTTTTTTGGTGGGGGTAAGTCCAAATGTAGTCCAAGAAGTTTTGTCAGGTCAGTAGGACTCCTTCTGGAATAATCCTAAAATAAGAATAACCATTTTCAGCATAATTTTCTATACCTTTTACTTTTCACATTAACACATATTTAATGATTTACTTTTCAAATAAGCCAAAGAAAAACTGCATAGACATAGAAAGCTTTGAATTCTGATCTAAACAGGCTGCTTATATGGTATCTGATAAAAAAACCTAAAAATTGGCAAGCTGTATCTGTTGAAATTTTAATGTGGTCACAACATGAAACTTCCATGCTGTTTCCATGTAACAAGCAAGTCTCTGATTAAGACGACAAGCTTTCAGAGAATATTGGAAGCACCTCAACTATATTTTCATGCCTTTTTTTTTTTTTTAATAGTGAGGAGTTACTGCCTTATTTACAGAGTTTAATTAGCAAACCTTATTACCTCAAACAAGATAATATACTTTCCTCGCTTCAGTGAGAGTGCGTGAGTAGAAGGTAGATTACCAGTTTGTTACTTACATGTGGTTTTTGTTTTGTTTTCTTTTTCCTTCCAGACAAAAACTGACAGTGTGCCCAGTTATCGATGGAGAAGATCATCTTCGCCTTTTGAATTTCCAGCATAACTTCATAACCCGGATCCAAAATATTTCTAATCTACAGCATCTTGTTTTTCTAGATTTATATGATAATCAGATAGAAGAAATAAGTGGGGTTTCAACTCTGAGATCTCTAAGGGTCCTTTTGTTGGGAAAGAACAGGTAAAAATAATAAAACTATCTTGAAGCACCCTACTTCTTCATGGTGTAACAACTGTGATCAGTCATTGTTTCTGTTACTGACAGTGTTCAGAATGTGATGCTGGCTATGAAGCCAGTGAGCTGGTCCCTAACACTAGCTAAGTGTTAGGGATCCAACTGAGGAAGCACACAGTTTTTGCTTGTAGTGTTCTTCACAAAGGAAGTTTCTGATGTAAATTTTAGCAACAGTTCTGAACTATTTTACGTGGTTTGGTCTAATCTTCTGTTCTCATCAGCTATTAAATACGTGTCCTTAGATTTGTGTTCTTAGGTGAGTGGAATCTCTTCACATCACATAAAGTATTCATTGATTCTTTATAACCTATAAAAAGTATTTCTGCCTGATATATTTAGCTGGGGAAAATAAATCAGACAGATGAATCATGGATTTTGTTGCTGATTCTATTGTGTCAGGAGATACAACTTGCTAGTTGTATTATTTTTGAAAAATACAGTTCAAATCCTGTAGCCTTTAATTCTAACAATTTAATAGAAGTATCTGTGGAATTGCTCACGCATCTAAGGGTTGTGCTCTGATTTTGTTCACTTTCCTTATTGTCTTTATATTCAGCAAAGGAAGAATCAGTAAACAAATGAGTTACGTGCAGATTACAAAGAATGTGTCTCCTAATTCAGCCTGTATTCAAAATTGACAACTTTAAATAGTGCAGTATGTTACTAGAGCTTACAGCTTTTATATTAAAAATCTCACCTGTAGAAATTAATTTTGTTTATAGCAAAATATTGGGGCATGGGAACCATAATTTTAAGGTGCTTTAAGGAATTATTTTCCAAATTGTAACGACACTGAGTGCTATATAATTTGTTTACATAGAAGTGTGGTTTGGAGGTAGTTAGGACCAGATATACACACAAATGATTGTAAGTCAGACACAGTTGCTAGCAACTTGTTTTCAGCTTGATCTATATGCGATCTTCAATTATTCTTGAAGCAAATGCATAATACAAATGATGTTTAATATCATCAGCCAGTAGATGATGCTGTTGAGTGTATAATAACATAGGTCTGGAATCGGAGAAAATAAGACGGGACATAAAAGTTTTCAAACAATGAAGTTAGGTAGGGGGAGAATAAATACTGCCAAATCTAGAGATCTACCTTGTCTAAAAAAGGGCCAGTGGCTTTGGGGATTTTTTTTTTTTTTTTTTTTTTTGCGTGTGTGTGTTCTAACAAATCCAAAAGCCTGTGTTACTATAGTCTTTCTTTAAACTCATTTGGAATTATCTCTTTGCTGTTATTAATAGTTTTTTATTATTTAAATATCTGGATAGGTTGGGTGTTGATTTTGTTTTCTAGTGGTGCAAGTATTCCTTCCCTTTTCATCTTCCTAGAAGAACCACATACATACCGCTGCTATTGCATTATTGACAGTCAGAAAGGAAGGTGATAGTCTAAGGCTAATTCATTTATTAATTCTTTTTACATGGTTCAGAACTTGGTTATCCTGCTACTCTTGGTAGGCAGGAGCAAACAGCTAAGTTTTATATTAGCTGGAAAACAAAACATACTTTTTATCTAATATGAAAAAATAATTTATGTAATAATTGAAATCTTGCAGAATAAAGAAGATCTCAAACCTGGAGAACCTAAAAAATCTTGATGTTTTAGATCTTCATGGAAATCAGGTACAATACAATAACTTGATTATTTACATTTTTTGTGTAGACATCATGTGTTTCCCATCTCTTTTACCAAACTATTGCTTTTTGCAACTCTTGAGGTCACAGAACATAATAAAAGGTGGTACGATGTTATTTTGATTCTTGGCATCAAGTCTCTTGTGCTTTCAGCACTGTACTTCTGGAAAGTTACAGTGATCAAAATGCTGAGTCAACTGAGTATAAT